CACACAGGTTGTGATAAACTGGGAGGAAAAAGATGAAACCAGGCTAAGATCACACAACATGAAGGCCCAGTTCAAAAAAGGATCTATGAAAAACTGGATTCTTTTTCCATTTTCGTTCATGAATCTTACATGACGTTTTAACTGCGACGCCCATACACCACTAGGAGAAAGACAAAAAAATGGTGTAATTTCCTTGCCACGCCACTAGCACCACTGGTTGGTAAACTTCAAGAACATCAGAGGCACAAATGTTTATATGGAAAGACAGCAAGCTTCACCTGTTGCCTCAGGCGACTGAGTTATCTGAGGCTTATAAACCAGTTGGCATCTGTTACGCTGCAAACTTAATTCTACTTATTGCCATCATGCTGTGCCTGTGCCAAGGCTTCCCCCTACAGGTACATTTGTGTTTTCCTAAATACACAACAGCAGAAAAATGGGATGTTTTAAAAACCCTTTGTAAACTTATGCACCGTAAAAACGCAAAAAAGAAATATGTTTTTTAACCAAAGATCATAAATTCAGGAGTTCATGAGCTGCTCTATCCTTAGGCTCTTAGCTTTACACCCTTCATCACAGCAGAAATAATGAGGCTGCATTAAAACAGCTCCTTTAATGGACGACTTTTACATCCTGTTTGTAAAACGGAGCGCTACCGCAGGTCATTCATCCCTGACTCTACAATGCGACACTATAATGACAATAACTTGTGCGATGTACAGTCATTGCCAAGTTTTAAGAATGATTCAAATACTAATATTTACAAAGTCTACTGCTTCATATACTCCAGAATGTTATAAAGAGTGATCAGCGTAACAGCAATTAATTGCAAAGTCAATATTTGCCTAGAAAATGAGCTTTATCCCCCAAAACACATTTCAACGTCATTGCAGCCCTGCCTTAAAAGGACCAGCTAACATTGTTTCAGTGATTGCTTTATTAACACAGGAGTGGGTGGTGATGAGGACAGGCCTGGAGATCAATCTGTCATGATAGAGTAAGAATGACACCACTGGACACTTTAAAAAAAGATGCTGGTGCTTGGCATCATTGTTTCTCTTCTGTGAACCAAGGTTATCTCTAAAGAAACACATGCAGTCATCATTGCACTGCACAAAAATGGCCGAACAGGAAAGAGAATCGCAGCTAGTAAGATTGCACCTCAGTCAACAATCTATCGCATCATCAAGGACTTCAGGAAGAGGTTCCATTGTTGCCAAAAAGGCTCCAGGGCGCCCAGGAAAGACCAACAAGCACCAGGACCGTCTCTAAAAAGTGTTTCAGCTGCGGGATCGGGCTACCAGCAGTGCAGAGCTTGCTCAGGAATGGCAGCAGGCAGGTGTGAGTGCATCTGCACGCACTGTGAGGTGGAGGCTCTTGGAGCAAGGCCTGGTCTCAAGGAGGGCAGCAAAGAAGTCACTTCTCTCCAGGATAAACATCAGGGACAGACTGATATTCTGCAAACGGTACAGGGAGTGGACTGCTGAGGACTGGGGTAAAGTCATTTTCTCTGATGAATCCCCTTTCCAATTGTTTGGGACATCTGGAAAACAGCTTGTTGGGAGAAGACGAGGTGAGCGCTACCACCAGTCTGGTCTCATGCCAACTGTGCAAGAATGGACTGCTATCAGTCAGGATTTGGTCCAGAAGTTGATTGAGAGCATGCCAGGGAGAATTGCAGAGGTCCTGAAGAAGAGGGGTCAACACTGCAAATATTGACTTGCTGCATTAACTCATTCTATCGCATTAAAAGCTTTTGTTACTCATTATATGATTGCAATTGTATTTCTATGTGTGATGAGAACATCTGACATTTACACCTGAAAACCAGAAGGCAGCAGATCATGTGAAAGTATAATATTTGTGTCATTCTCAATACTTTTGGCCATTACTGTATAATGTGCAATTACTATTTGATACCCTGTGCTATGACCTGTTTCTCTATATTTGACACCCAGTGAAATAACTATACATATAAATATAAATATCAATCTATATAAGTACCCATGTGAACACCCTGTGCAATAACCCTACTTTAAAAAAATATAATAAGGTGACCAGATTTCTCCAATCTAATCTGGGCACATGGAGATGAAAATAAAGACATATCACGAAATGATGACAGTTCACCAGGTCATCCAGTCAGATTGATTCAAAGTTTTCTATCTAAGGAAGACCAGATAATTGCATCGAATCATTGACTCTAAGGCAATCCCTCACACTAAGCATGCTTGTAGCGACAGTGGAGAAGAAAAACTCCCTTTTAACAGGATAAAACCTCCAGCAGAACCAGGCGGAGGTTGAGGTTGACTGGGGTTCAAGGGGACAGAAGCAGAGATACAAAAAGCAACAGATTGTATATATATATGATATATATTAAAAAAAAATAGATTGTTTCAGAGCCGACACTGGAAAATGCAAAACAAAAACAAAAAAAACATAGTGGATTAAAAAGCCCTGGTGGGTAAGAATAAAAATAACTTTTAGACAAATTTTTAAAAATGTGACTTATAAACTGATAATTTCACGGTTTATGAATAACAATAAAAAAAAAGAATTGATCCTGTTCCATTTGTTTTATCTAAGCACACATGGGGAACACAGCAGCGTAAAGCTGACTGTAAAACAAATGCAGTGCATCAAAGGCATGTGACAAACAGTAAATATTTACAGCCAAACCTGCAAAGCTGCAATTACCCGTCTGTGTCTTTGTGCAGCTGTTTAATGAGGTTTCACTGACAGTAGAGCTGAATAAGAGCTGCGGGGCCCAAAACACCTTGAGGATGGGCTCTTTGTTAATGGGCGGGGACTGTTTACATGTTGTTTGGCTTTATCAGACCGTCCACGGTCAGAAAGCATGAAACCCCTGAGGGCTGCATGCCCAGGGAGCGTTCCGGATGAGGCACAGCGTTGGTTGGAGATGCATTTACTGCCATGCAAGGTGGAAAAGTTGTGGACATGATCCTCTGCTCACTTTTAATCAGATGTGTTCAAACTAGTTTTTTTTTTTTTTTTCCTTACCTTGGCTTCTTCACTCACATCCCAGGTAAAAGACACAGCATTGTAAGCTATTTCCTCCACGTTCCCAATCGTGCTAAAGCTCTCCTTGTAGTCAGCTGAAGGCATGAGCAGAACATAAAAGAGAAACGTTTTACATTAACATTTCAGAATAGAGCGGCCTTTAATCTGAACTTCTGAACCTCACCATCCTAACAAAGGAAACATTTAATGAAATGTTACCCCCCCCCTCCCAAACAACAGTGGTTCAAGTTACAGCAGGATAGGATTGAAATGTAAATATCATTTAGAGCAACAAAATGGATAAAGAGACTATATTAAAACTAACAACCAGATTACCACACAGTTTGAATCACTAATTTTCCTTAATGGGGGGGGGGATTTACCATTAGGCTAAATACTAGGCAGTTGCATAGGGCTGCAAGTTCCTGGGGGCCCCATAAAACTCTGTTTGCATGTATGTTTAATACAACTATTCATCATTTGTGCACATGAATTATGTTTTTGAAAGCTCCAAACAGACAGCAGTAAACCATTTGAAAACGATGTGAAGAGCAGTGTTGCCAACTTTGCACTTTTGTCGCTATATTTAGCGACTTTTCAGACCCCCCTAGTACTTTGATTTCAAAAAAAGCATCTAGCGCCAAATCTAGCGACTTTTTTCTGCTACTGGAGACTTTGGCGACAACATATAAAAGCGTCGAACTCTGCTCTCCAGAGCGAGTAGATTGGTAACCCCGCCCCCTGCTCTCCTCTATCTTGTCTGCTGTCGTGATTCATGCAGATATTATTTAATCCAAATGAAAAATGGAGAACAGATAAGCAGATCATGGATTGTCTACAGTGAAAAGAATTACTGTTTTATTTGCTTTAGCTGTCGCCTTTTTGGAAACACAGGAAAGAACAATCCGCTAAGTGAGCTTAGTGATGGGTAGAAATCTTTCATTCCTTTTGACACAGCATGAAAAGCCAGCCGAGTACAAAACATAGAGACGAAAACAAGAAGAAAAAGGACAAGAAGAGAGGACAGAACATAGAACAAATAATGGATGTCTATTCTATTAAAATTTCTGTATCTCTCTAATGGGTCTGTTTTATGTGTTGTCTTCTCAGTTCAGAGGGCCCCCTGCCTGTGTTTGCCTAGGGCCCCAAATTTCCTAAATCCACCCCTGTCACTCATCACGCCTGTGCCTCAGATTATTGTCTTTTAGGTAAATTAAGATGTATGAAGTTTTTTTTCAGACATTATTTTTATTAGACATTAGTTTTTTCCAGATACACATCACCCCCATCCCCCGCCGGATAGCACACTACAGTTTAAAAACAATCCATGAGGAAATCCTATTTTATATGAATTTATAAGTCTAAAAAAATACTGAACTTTAGGATAAGATCTAAAATTTGACAACATATTAAAATACGTGTTTTTTTTTTGTTTTTTTTTTCTCTTTATTCATTTGTACAGTCTGCTGCAACATATAAGGGGTTTACTGTTTCATGGTATTGTTCTTGTAACAAGTACAATGACAATGAAGTTTAATCTAAACCAAGGCTAAAATATCTGCGGGGAGGAAAAAAGATTTGTGAAGATTGAACATTTTAATATGTTAATATCTGGGTCATAAGATTTTATACGTATTTATCAGTGTCATTATCTGTGAGAAAACTTTCAGTATCATTAGATACATTTGCATAATCTTAAAAAATATTTGATCACTCAGTTCATTTAATTCATTTTAAGAGTTAAATACAAAAACAATCCAAACACATTAGAGACAGAAATTTTCGTGTATTTTGAAAATGTGATTTTTCTTCTTTAATTAAAATAATTAAGTCTTGAGTGCATTGAAATGTCTTCCTAAACACACATAAATGAACCTCCCTAGAGTTCAGTATTTCACCACCTTTTTTCCCCCCTTCTCTTATCCATTTATCTCCAGTATCTCAGAGTAAATGAAAATCTGCCAGGCAGATATTTCCACTTCAGAATCCCACTTTCACATTTAACAAAAAAAACTCAATACATCCCAGTCACGTATTCATTTCCACCCACTCTATGCAAGTCCATGCCAGTACTATTAATGGCATGAACTTGGCACACATAAAAACCAGTAGTGTATGACAGCGTTGGATCATTCCTTTGAGTTTGAAGCTGCAGGTTGAGGCCTGTCTCTCTCCACCATACAGGATATGGCCGCAATCCAGGCCTTCACTTATTTCTACATAACGTCTATGCAAATGTACCCCATGGGCTGTCTGTTCACAGGACTCCTGTGGGAAATGAGTATTGACTGTTATTCAAATCTAATCCGGTTTTACTGCAGAACAGAAGGGATTCTCTTTCAGGTTAGCCGCCTGCCTGCTCTGCCTCGTTAATCTTGTAAAGCTGCGATGACGCTATTCATTTATGAAGAATAATAACTCAGCCTGAACAGTGAAGACCTTCTGATCTTTTATCCAACCCAAAGAAAAAGAAAACTTACCAATATCTAAAACCCTTTGCTTTGCAGTGTGCTGTCTGGAGTGCCAATATTTCCAATTCTTGAGCTGATCATCTCTGGATTTGTCTTCCCCAAACACCACCATGATGACACTCTACAGATGAAGCAGCAAATTTGGATCTTTATAAGGGTCACAGAGATGCAAACATATAATCTCAGTCTATAAATCCCTCAAACGTGTACCTGTACGACAGTGTCCCTCTGCGGATCAGAGGCTCCCAAAGAGGCAGACTGCTCACTGCTGGAGGGCTTTCCATTAGATTTGCCCCAAGCTTTGGCTCTGGGCCGACAGTGGAAAGAGCTGTAGCCGTTTTCAGACAACGTTAAAGCGTAGAATTGGCCCCGGTTCAGGTAAGCCATGGGTCCTTCTCCTTGACGCGGCCGCAGAGACATGCTGGCTTCCAGGCTGTACTTGAAGCTGTCGCTGCAAGATAGCAAGTTTGTATATCTATGATCTCTTTCGGTATGGTACACCCAAAAATGTTCATGCATCTTTTCTTTTAACAAATAATTTAGAAACATGTTGTTCATTTGTTTTTCTCTCAATCTGCTTTGACAGCAAAAAAAGTCAAACCTATCTGTGGAATTTGAACTCTGTAAGAGCACCAATGAAGCCAGAACGTTTTTTTAAAGAGAGGCTCTGTCTAATCCTTCAGCTAAGAACAAAGTGTAATATTTTGTTAAGTCTGGATCCATGGATGTAAAATATGATGATGTGGCAAACTGAAGTATAAAATGCCTCTTTAACTGTTTATGGGGGCCACTTCCTGAGAAGTGAGCCCCGTTGGTAGGCAGCTGCCTTCTGTAACTCTTAGCAACTTCTCTGATCTGAGTAAGATTACAATTTCTATCACAATCTGTTCTCATGTCTCCTGGTTATTTAATACATTTAGGTTATTAAGTGTTATTTCAAGAGTTTGTCTGCAGTAAGTTTAAAATGTTCCAAGTGTAGACACAGAGAGCCTCTCTTTAATAGTTTAAAGCAGTCTTTGAATGATAAAAAAAAAAAAATCCTAGGTTTCAAAATGTGATGTAGATCTGTCCAATGAATCAGAAAATGATAAGATTATGGCACAACAGCAGACCTGCACCAAAACATGGTAGTCGCCACAAACTGACAGATTCACAGCTCAAGTGGGAGAATCTGTTTACTGCAAAACATCTGGCTTTTATGGAAGTGCAAAGGAAAAAGAAATCTGTTAATCAAATTATGTTTGAAGTTTCCCACAAGCTAAGCAGAGATGTTAGTTGGAACTAACTTTGGATCATCAACCTGAACACAGCATCCCCACAGTGACTCCAAAAAAGTAATAAAAAAAAAATGATGAAGCATAAACTGCCGGGCCGCTGAGTGGACCAGACCTCCGCAGAGAGCCATGAGCCGGAGGAGGGGGGCTGGGCGCCAGTAAGGCAGGTGGAGGGAAGCACGGGGTCCCGGCTACTGTCACCGGGTCGGAGTCGGTCGCTCCGTCCCCGACCAGCCCTGGAGCTGACGACTCGGTTCTGCTGCACTGTAGTCGACCAAATCCCGGACGATTTTGAAATTCCCCCCCGGACATTTTTTTTAGGTATGAAAAGTTGGACATGTCCGGGAAAAAGAAGACGTCTGGTCACCCTACCATATCAATAATTTGATGTTTCAGTGAGTGAGTGCTTGTTGCTATGCTCAGCAGCTTTGTTTGTTGTAAACCAACCAATCAGCACACAGCTCATCTAAATATTCATGATCATACCATAAAAGGAAGAAAACCTGTCATTTCATTCTAGGGTTTTTAACCAGGCTTGCATTAGGTCTCATATAACAACAAATATGCCATTTTCAGCCCAACCAATGTTAGACACCCTATTGAGAGACCTTAAGGACCAGCACCAAATACCCTATAGAATCATTCTACACTGCCTGGCCAAAAAACAAAGTTGGCACCAAAAAAAAGGTCACTCACTCTAATACTTTGTTGGACCGCCTTTAGCTTTGATTACGGCACGCATTCGCTGTGGCATTGTTTCGATAAGCTTCTGCAATGTCAAAAGATTTATTTCCATCCAGTGTTGCATTAATTTTTCACCAAGATCTTGCATTGATGANTAAGCAGAGATGTTAGTTGGAACTAACTTTGGACTGCATGGATCATCAACCTGAACACAGCATCCCCACAGTGACTCCAAAAAAAGTAAAAAAAAAAAAATGATGAAGTGTAAACTGCCGGGCCGCTGACTGGACCAGACATCAGCAGAGAGCCACGAGCCGCCCGTCCTCAGCTGGAGGAGGGGGGCTGGGCGCCAGTAAGGCAGGCGGAGGGAAGCACCAAACATTTTTTTTTTTTAGGTATGAAAAGTAGGACATGTCCAGGAAAAAGAGGACGTCTGGTCACCCTACCATATCAATAATTTGATGTTTCAGTGAGTGAGTGCTTGTTGCTATGATGCGTCTTTGCTCAGCAGCTTTGTTCGTTGTAAACCAACCAATCAGAGCACAGCTCATCTAAATATTCATGAGAATACCATAAAAGGAAGAAAACCTGTCATTTCATTCTAGGGTTTTTAACCAGGCTTGCATTAGGGCTCATAGAACAGCAAATATGCCATTTTCAGCCCAACCAATGTTACACACCCTATTCAGAGACCTTAAGGACCAGCACCAAATACCCTATAGAATCATTCTACACTGCCTGGCCAAAAAAAAAAGTCGGCACCAAAAAAAAGGTCACTCACTCTAATACTTTGTTGGACCGCCTTTAGCTTTGACTACGGCACGCATTCGCTGTGGCATTGTTTCGATAAGCTTCTACAATGTCAAAAGGTTTATTTCCATCCAGTGTTGCATTAATTTTTCACCAAGATCTTGCATTGATGGTAGAGTCTGGCCGCTATGCAAAGCCCTCTCTAGCACATCCCAAAGATTCTCAATGGGGTTGAGGTCTGGACTCTGTGGTGGCCAATCCATGTGTGAAAATGATGCATCATGCTCCCTAAACCAGTCTTTCACAATTTAACCCCGATGAATTCTGGCATTGTCATCTTGGAATATGCCTGTGCCATCAGGGAAGAAAAAGTCCATTGATGGGATAACCTGGTCATTCAGTATATTCAGGTAGTCAGTTGACCTCATTCTTTGAGCACATACTGTTGCTGAACCAAGACCCGACCAACTGTAGCAATCCCAAAAAAAAACCCCCCCCCCCCCACACA